CCTTCCACACCCCTTCTTTGCCAATTCCCTTCCACATGACCTCCGACTTTAGTATCATTCCACCCCTCTTTGCCAATACCCTCCACTGACCTCACACTCAGTGTCCTCCCACCCCCTCTCTGCAATCCCTCCACTGGCCTCCACTCAGTGTCCTCCACCATCCCTCTCTGCCAATCCCTCCACTGAGACCTCCACTCAGTGTCCTCCACCGGCCCTCTTTGCCAATCAATCCCTAGGTCCTCCACTCCTGTCTCTCAGTGTCCTCCACTTATCTCCTCTCTGCCAATCCCTCCACTGACCTCCACTCAGTGTCATCCACCCCTCTTTGCCAAATCCCTCCACTGACTCCACTCATGTGGTCCTCCACCCCTCTTCTGCCAATCCCTCCACTGACCTCCACTCAGTCGCCTCCACCCCTCTCTGCCAATCCCTCCACTGACCTCCACTCATGTCCCACCACCCCTCTCCACCAATCCCTCCATCTGATCCCTCCACTCAGTGTCCTCCCACCCTCCTGCCAATTTCCCTCCACTGGCTCCACTCAGTGTCCTCACACCCCCTCTGACCCCATCCCTCCACTCCAGGCCTCCACTCAGTGTCCTCCACCCCTCTCTGCCAATCCCTCCACTGACCTCCACTCAGTGTCCTCCACCCCTCTCTGCCAATCCCTGCCACTGGACCTCCACTCAGTGTCCTCCGCACTCCCTCTCTGCCAATCCCTCCACTGACCTCCCACTCACTGTCCTCCACCCCTCTCTGCCAATCCCTCCACTGACCTCCACTCAGTGTCCTCCACCCTCTCTGCCAACCCTCCACTGACCTCCACTCAGTGTCCTCCACTGCCCCTCCTCTGCCACGTCATCCCTCCACTGCAACCTCCCACCTCCACAGCCACCACTCTCTCACCCCTCTCATGTCTCTGCAATTCCCTACCACTGACCTCCACTCACCAATCCCTCCTAGTTAGGACTGCTGGGCTTATAAATATGTATAGTAATTTGGACTTCACTGTTTCATTTCTACCCCTATGGCCTTTAGAAGAAGCTTCAAATATAGAGCAGGGAGATGCGGGGCACCAGTATGTCGATTAGTGGTGTATAATTTAGGGTTTTGTGTTGCCCTAGAGAGAGCCGGACCACCAACCAACACATCACTCCAAACCACCCCTGTGCAAGAGTCTGAACCAACACCAACCAACCCTCCTGGCCAAGAGGCCTTCCACCACACCCCCATACACCGCCACCACACAACCACTATACCCCGCCCCACCCATCAAGGAGAGAGACACATTGACCTTCACAAGCTCTGACAATCCACGGAATGACAGTCAGGGCTCTGCATACACACGTTCAGCAGTTTATGAACAAAAACCTCAACATTGAAATTATGAACAAAGCATATCACTCTTATAGTGTGTACTTGCCATCAGTCCCAAGCACTGAGTGTCATTTCTGTCTGCTGCCCTCCTTCCTCTCCTATCAGCATCAGTCACTTCTGAATAAGGTGTTCCTGACACCAAGAAATAAAAACGGGTGACAGCGGTTGGGGCCTCCAGCTGATTGACAGCCTCAGCTCTGTGTTTTGTGGAGGGGGGCTTCGTGTACCTCCCTTTCCTCCAATCAGCTCTCATGAGTTTTCCTCATTGCTTGGAAACCTCTGATTGGTGTACACATGTTTATCCCCCATACACGAAACGCTCTCTGAGTCTCGCTGCAGTTCTATCCAGGGGCGGACTCACTAACTCATATGGGGCCCACCCGGGCTATAGGAAATCATGGGGCCCCTGTGATCCGGTAGTCTTCGCCCGATACTCAAGCCACACCCCCAATAAAGCCTATGAAATGTAGGCAGAGAGAAGCTCATTGGTGTCACTGGGAGGAATAGAGTTGCCCATCCTTAGAGAGTGGTCAGTGACAGAGATATAATAGATAGTATAGCCAGAATCAATGGTTATCAGATAGGGCAGAATAGTGCCCCAACATTGCTGTCAGTGGGAGGGGATTAGATAGCCCCCATCATATGACTGTACAGTGGGTAGATAGTGCCCCATAGATCATTGGTGTAGTGGGGAGGAATAGTGCCCATCATTGGTATCAGTGGGAGGAATAGTGCCCATCATTGGTGTCATGGGAGGAAATAGTGCCCCATCATTGGAGTCAGTTGGAGGGAATAGTGCCCATCATTGTTGTCAGTGGGAGGAATAGTGCTCCATCATAGGTGTATCATGGGAGAGATAGTAGCCCACCATCATTGGAGTAGTGGGAGGAATAGTGACCCCATCATATGGTTTCAATGGGAGGATATTAGTGCCCCATCATTGGTGATCAGTGGGGAGGAATAGTGCCCCATCATTGGTGTCAGTGTGGTAGAGAATAGTGCCCCATCATTGGTGTCAGTGGTACAAGTGATATATGCGCCCCATCAGTGGTGTCATTGAGGAGGAATAGTGTGCCCCATCATTGGTATCAGTGGGCAGGAATAGTGCCCCATCAGATAGATAGATAATGGGAGGAATAGTGCCCCCATCATTGGTGCTCATGGGAGGAATAGTGCCAGACCATCATGTAGTCCAGTGGGAGGAATAGTGCCCCATCACTGGTGTCAGTGGGAGGAATAGTGCCCATTCCATCATTGGTGTCAGTGCTGAGAGGAATAGTGCCCATCATTGGTATTCAGGAATAGTGCCCATCATTGTTAGTGGGAGGAATAGTGCCCCATCAATTGGTGTCAGTGGGAGGAATATAGTGCCCCATCATTGGGGTGTCAGTGGGAAGGAATTAGTGCTCCCATCATTGGTATTCAGTGGAAGGAATAGTAGCCCCATCATATGGTGTCAGCAGGGAGGAATAGTGCCCCATCATTGGTCATTACAGTCAGGGAGGAATTGCCCCATCATTGGTATCAGTGGAGGAATAGTGCCCCATCATTGGTGTCAGTTGGAGGAATTGTGCGCCCCAATCATTGGTGTCAGTGGAGGAATAGTGCCCCAACTCATTGGTGTCCAGTGGGAGGAATTAGTGCCCCATCATTGGTATCAGTGGGGAGGAATAGTGCCCCATCATTGGTATCAGTGCCCCATCATTGGTGTCAGTCGGAGGAATATGCCCCATCATTGGTGTCAGTGGGAGGAATAGTGCCCCATCATTGGTGTCAGTGGGAGGAATAGTGCCCATCATTGGTGTCTAGTGGGAGGAATAGTGCCCCCATCATTTAGGTGTCAGTGGGAGGCATAGTGTCCCACTCATCATTGGTGTCAATGGGAGGAATAGAGTCTAACCCCATCATTGGTGTCAGTGGGAGGAATAGTGCCCCATCATTGGTGTCAGTGGGAAGGAATAGTGCCCCATCATTGTATCAGTGGGAGGAATAGTGCCCCATCATTGGTGTTCAGTGGGAGAATAGTGCCCCATCATTGGTCTATCAGTGGAGGAATAGTGTCCCCATCATTGGTATTCAGTGGGAGGAATAGTGCCCCATCATTTGGTGTCAGGGGAGGAATAGTTGCCCCAAAAAAAACACAAAAATATAAAAAAAAGAGGAAAATCCAACAACATTGGTGTCAGTGGGAGGAATAGTGCCCATCATTGGTGTCAGTGGGAGGAATAGTGCCCCCAATCATTGGTGGTCAGTGGGAGGAATAGTGCCCCATCATTGGTGTCATAGTGGGAGGAATAAGTGCCCATCATTGGTGTCAGTGGGGAGGAATAGTCCCCATCATTGTGTCAGTGGGAGGAAATAGTTGCCCCATCATTGGTGTCCAGTGGATGGTAATTCAGTGCCCCATCATTGGTGTCAGTGAAGGGAGGAATAGTGATCCCATCATGTGGTGTCAGTGGGAGGAATAGTGCCCCATCATTGGTGTCAGTGGGAGTTCCCAGGAATAGTGCCCCATCATTGGTGTCAGTGGGAGAAGGGAATAGCGCCCCATCATTGGTGTCAGTGGAATATGCCCCATCATTGGTGTCAGTGGGAGGAATAGTGCCCCATCATTGGTGTCAGTGGGAGAGAATAGTGCCCCATCATTGGTGTCAGAGGGAGGAATAGTGCCCATCATTGTGTCAGTGGGAGGAATAGTGCCCCATCATTGGTGTCAGTGGGAGAATAGTGCCCCATCATTGGTGTGTCAGTGGGAGTAGGAATACTAGTGCCCCATCATTGGTAGTCAGTGGGAGAGAATTAGTGTCCATCATTGGGTGTCAGTGGGAGGAATAGTGCCCCATCATTGGTGTCAGTGGGAGGATAGTGTGTCCCATCATTGGTGTCAGTGGGAGGAATAGTGCCCCATCATTGGTGTCAGTGGGAGGAATAGTGTCCCATCATTGGTGTCAGTGGGAGGAATAGTGCCCCATCATTTGGTGTCAGTGGGAGGATAAAGTGCCCCATCTATTGGTGTCAGTGGGAGGAATAGTGCCCCATCATGATGTCAGTGGAGGAATAGTGCCCCATCATTGGTGTCAGTGGGAGGAGAATAGTGCCCCATCATTGGTGTCAGTGGGAGGAATAGTGCCCCATCATGGTGTCAGTGGGAGGAATAGTGCCCATCATTGGTGTCAGTGGGAGGAATAGTGCCCCACTCATTGGTATGTCAACACAAAGTGGGAGGAATTGTGCCTCCATTAAATAAGGTTACTCGGTGGGTGGACGAGTTCCCCATCCATTGGCATCAATGGAGGAATAGAGCCCCAATCACCAGGTGTCAGCGGAGAATCGATCCCCCCATCATTGCGGTGGTCATTGGAGGAACAAGTGGCCCCATCATTCGGTCGTTCCCTATTGGAGGAAATAGTGCCCCCATCATTGGTTTCTCAGTGGGAGGAATATCCCCATTCAATGGTACAGTGAGAATAGTGCCCCATTATAGGTATCGGTGGGAGGAAGAGTTCCCCATCATTGGCACATCACAGGGAGAATAGTGTCCCATTACATTGATGTCAGTAGAACGGAATAGTAATTACATCATTAGTTTCAATGGGAGAAATTAGTGCCCCATCATTGTGTGCCAGTGAGGAAGAATCGTACCCCATCAATTGAGGTGACAGTGGGAAGGTAATATGCGCCCCATCATTTGGTGACCAGGTGGAGGCAGACATAAGTGCCCACCATTGGTGTCATTGGAGGAGAATAATGCCCCATCATTGAGAGTGTCAGTAGGGAGGAGGATAGTGCGCCCCATCATAGGTGTCCAGTGGGGGAAAGCGCAACCAGAATGTGTCATGTGGAGAATAGTACCCCATCATATGGTGTCAGTGGAGGGACTCGTGGCCCCATCTGTTGGTATATCAGTGGGGAGAACATGTGGTCCTCATCGTTGTGTCAGTGGGGATGGAGCAACAGTGCCTCATTGTTGTTGTCAGTGGGTGGAGGAACAGTGCCTCATTTTTGTTTTCAGTGGGTGAGAGAACAGTGCCTCATTGTAGGTGGTCCTAGTGGATGGAAGCGAATAGTGCCTTCATCGTATTTATGTCGAGTGTGAAGAATAAGTTGCCCATCATCTTGAGTGTACTCAATGTGAGAATAGTGCCCCATACGTTGGTGACAGTGAGGAAAGGGAAATTGCGCCCCATCATATGTGATCAGTTGGGGAGCAAGTAATTGCCTCCCCACATTGGTGTCCTGGAGGGGAAAGGCCCATCATTGGGCAGTGGGGGGAATAGTGCCCCATCATTTTGGGCATGGGAGGAAAGTCCCCCCTTTTGGGTTTTGTGGGGGAATAGTGCCCCCTCATGGTGTCGTGGGGGAAATAGGCCCCATCTTGGTGTCTTTGGGAGGAATAGGCCCCCTCTTGGTGTCAGTGGGAGGAATAGGCCCCAT